GATTCATGAGAGTGATCACCAAATTTTCATAAGGGAGCATATTCATGCCACTCCCATTGTACAGTAGTTCCATCAGGTCTCCTCATCTACATTCCAGAATGCAGGGATTGTACTATGTGATGGGTCATGGATATGCCTCCAGCCAAGCTAGAAACAACTCTGCTAAAAGGAGATGGCCATTGGCTCACAGTGCTCCTGCCATAACAATACCCAGAGCAGAAATTACTCAATCACCTGCAGAGCAGCACTTTGATATACATGTGTGCAGTATATCCTGCACCATGGCTATCCAGGTTCTCAGAATGTATGCTGGGATGGCTATGGATGCCTCACTTTGTGTGGGCTGTAGATTGGTCTTTGGGTATGTCCTGATTTGCACACTAGGCTACACAGCATTGCATGCACAGCCAGTCTTGTTGTGGCAACCCCATTGTTACACCAACACAATTGCAGACTACAACTATGATATGGAGGCCCCTAGGTGGCTTTCACACTATATACATTCATTTTGCACAGGCTGTATGTTCAGCCTGTCCATGTTACAAACCTTGGTAAGCTGGAGGTCTTTTGGCACCTCCTTGCCAACCACATTCTCCTCTTGTGGATGGACCATGCATATACCTGCTATCTGGATTCCACTGTCCAGGGAGTGACTTGCATGCCAACCTCTTCATGCACATTAACAATGATTGTCAATGGGGAGCTGCCAGTGTTCAATGGGTATACTGGGTAGTATAAACTCACTGACAACAATCAAGAATGCTTCCATGTTCTCCTCCAACTCTTAAAGGGCTGAGGGCCTTCTCTGAGCTAGCAAATGGCTCTACTATGGGGAGTCAGGCCAGTTTGACTACCTTGCAAAGCAACCACCTGAGGTAGTGAATGCTTTGTGAGCTTCTACAGTGGAGCCTATAGCTGGGCCATCCACCATGCATGCAGTGGTAATTGCACCTGCTGCATCATCATCAACTACTAGAAGCCTATCCAGCCCATCCAAACTCTGGCAAGGCAATGATGCCTTTGCCTGCACATGTCCCTGAGGCAAGTACTCTAGTTGCCCCCACAATCACCTCATCCAGTGCTGTGACCAACATATCACCACTCCTCTGCTGGGTGATAGTGCAACTAGAGGCTCAGCTGGTATGGTCAATGCTGTAACAGAGGAATGAGATGAAATGGTGCATGCTTACAAAGCCTCAGCAACCTGGATGAATCAAAAGGCTTGATGAACCACTTGTTGTTGTTTATATACTGTGAATGTACCCAGACAGGAGAGACCTGCCCCTGAATTGAAATGTGGCTGACAATGCATGGTTCAACACTGTGCACATCAGTCAAATTGAGATCAATAACTTGCAGGACCAACCTGGCCCTGCATCACAGATTACTAACATAGAGGAGTACTTTGTATGTCCTGAGTGCTGCCTTATAGAGGGGATACTTAATCATCCCTTTGTACTGCTATCCACCACCTTCTGTGATACTGTTAATAGTCTCAAAGGGAGGTATATAATGGAGCATCCTACTGACCTCCTTATCACACTATATCACACTATATGGTACATAGACTGATATATATTATTTCAATGACCTGTCTGATATTTTTACTTCTTTGTTATATGGTTTTGAAATATATAAGAGTCAAGAATGGTGCTTGCTGTTCCTGGGATGTAAGTACAAGACTGTAATATATCAAATTAACAGTATATCCCAATAAGTGTGGAAGTGGTCAGGGTGTGACACCCCCCTTTAGATTCTAACACATACATACATTGTAATTTAGTTCTATGACATTCCATGTGATCTAGGTCTATGACATTCCATGTGATTTAGGTCTATGACATTCCATGTATTTTCTTGACCATTGCCAATACCACTGCTTGTGTCATCTTGTGTTCAGCACATTGTGTGTGTCTCTGTGGACCTGAAAAGGTTGCTTGTGTTCTCCCCCCCTTTACTATCCATACCTTTAACAGGTTATGGGCCCTGGCCCCAAACTTAATCAAACCATCACTGCTTCTCATTCTTCTCTCACACATCACCTCAACTAGCATGTCTGATGAACTTTCTCATTTGTTCTCAACCATGTTGCATCACAATGTCCCTGAGAACTTGATGATTCTAATTGGTTAATTATGGACCAAGAAGATGATGGGTGATCTCCACACCATTGGCATGACTGGGATTGTTACTAGCAAGATCCCTACACTTAATCAGAAGGAGAAGAAGGATTGTGATAGGTTAAATCAGATCAGATGCTGCAAGAGTACACTTATAGAAGGGTCTCAGATGAGTATCAATATTTTGTCAAGGATCATGAGACTAGTACTGCTGCCTGGGCTGCTTGCTCTCCAGGCTTATTTCAAGAAGTTGACTATTGGTAACTGGATGATTGCTTATGCAGGATTATGCAAAGTCTGGCATGAGCCCAATTGGTTGATCTCATTCTACATTAGGCTCTTCAGTCTGTCAAGCAGAAGCTTGCTGCATTTGGTGTTCAGATTAATAATACCAAGTTCAAGAATGTCTTCCTTATGCACCTCAATGATTCCTTCCATACTGTTTGCCTCAGCATCCTCACTCAGACCCCCAAATCTAATTTTGTCAAGATCAAGCAGTGATTTGCAAGGCCTGACTAAGCTCAAAAGCCTGGGCTTGGGCTAGGCCCATGAGCACCAGGGCTTTCCAAAGCTTTGAGCTGAGCCCTGAGCCCTCATTGAGAGCTGGCCTTGCTCAGCTTGGGTCCAAGCCCAGGCTTACAAGATAATGGGATGATGCTAAATATTCTCAAAATCAATATTATAAGAGTAAAAAAACATAACAATCATATTTGCAACATATAAATACATTATCCAGAGGTATGTTGAAAGTTTTTGAAAAGTTTGTTGCACCTCAATGCCTTGCAAGCAATGTCACATGATATTTAGTCTGGTCAGAACTCCTGATTTCTAACTCAGGTAAGGGGTCAGTGCTGGAATTTTCACACTAATGCTATTTTACAGAGATTAATGAGCTAGAAACATTCAGCACAAAAGCCCTGGGTCTAAAGGCTTTTACAAGGCCTGGAAGTAGTGAAGCTGAGCCTTAGGCCTTTGGAAACCCAATAACAGAGCCCAGCTCAGCCCAGCTTCAATAAGGCTTGGCTCACCTGGCTCAGGGCTCACAAGCTGAGCCTTGCAAATCACTAAGATCAAGGAGATGCTTGCCATCTCTGCTGCCACTGACTCTATCACTATCAAGTCAGAGGATGCTCTTGATGCTCAAAGCTAGAGTTCTGCTAGATCTGACAACCCATTGATGGATGACAAGGGCCATTGCTGTTGCAACCCCAAGTCTGATAATTGTCATTGCTGCAGCAGGAAAGGTCATTGTACTCATGCCTGTATCTATAACATGCCTTGCAGTATCAAGAACCATGTTATGAAGAATTGCCACTTGGGCTCATCCTGTAAAGGGACTGATCTCTGACAGGCATCCTGTCCATTTATGGGCAGCTAATTGAGGAAGTAACCCCATTCCTCAGGGGAAGCACACTGACCTCTGTACTGATTCCACCCTGACTAGGCCTAGCCTCTGTGGCTCAGCACTCTATCTAGCCACCCCTGGGGCTGCCCAGCCCTCTCTTACTCCCTTTCTGTCTTGGCACCACCACCTGACAGGTCAGCTGGTCTCCAGCCTCCAGAACCCACTCTATGTGTCATACTTAGTTATATACTATGTCTTGGCATCACTCAGCTGATTATTGTTGCTTACCTTACTCCTATTACAGACTAGCCCACTTAGTCAATAGCTTGTAGTCAGCAGCCCCTTCTTAGTCATTTGGTAGTAGTCATCATACTAGTATATAAGAAGGACCAGGGGATAGAATATCCCCAGTCCTGACAATAGCATTGCTTCTGGGTCTATTCATTAGTGGCACTGTAAGCCTGGCCAGTGCAGCCCTTTGTCTCCCACTTTTCCCTCTGCCTTTGCCTCTCATTGGACACCTGTCCCTTGCCTGCTGTGCCATCCAGCCAGCTTGCCCATTGCCTTGCTCTGGCTTGATGGGTTAGGTCATAAGTAGCAGGCTTGACTTGAGTTATCCATGGCCAATGTTTCCTTACATGTCCTCCCCTTCATCTTTCCACTCTCCAATGCTCATATTGCTGATGCCAACATTGATTCTGTTCCAATTTGTGCCAGCTCTGCCTACACTGATGTATTTGAACCTGATCCTGATTATGTTGACCCAACCTCCAACAATGAATGGTATGTGGCATTCTCTGCTCAGGAATGGGCCCCTTGTATACTTTGAGGAATAATTTGGATATGGTGGGAGTTTTGTGTGTTGTTCAGTGAGAGTATTTCTTCTTGTGTCATGTTGGACAGGTGGGAGTGTTGAAGTGGTCGGAGTGTCTGCATGTGACACCCCCCTTTGGATTCTAGCACATACATACATTGTAATTTAGTTCCATGACATTCCATAGATTTTTCTTGACCATTGCCAATACTACTGCTCACGTCATTTCATGTTTGGTGCATTGTGTGCATCTCTGTGGACCTGAAACAGTTTCTGTGCCCCTCCCATGTGTTTTTTTATGTTCTCCCACCCCTTCAACATCCCTGCCTTTGATAATAAGTACTGCCCAGGAAAGGCACCATGACTAGTACTTACACATACTTATTGAAATGTGTTTCTTGAAGCATTTGAAGCCCTGGCTGAGCTTATATATTATGTGTGTCTAGAGTAAGAGTACATCAGGATCTCGATGTGACCCAATGGTAAGAAAGAGAAGACTCTAGTGCTGGAAGTCACAACTTGCATTAATTTCGGTGCTGCAACAAGCATCTATGTACAATGGCATTCTTGCACCCTCATTTGGTTCAGCTATCTACAAAATTGCACTATGATTGAGTGAACCAAGAGTGGGCAAAATGGTTTTTGTAAAATGGCAATTGCATCTTTTTCCCGGACGAATTCACTCGAAGTACTTGGTAGATTGACTTAGCTTTGGTAATGAAGCAGTATGGCGCAGCTGGAAGCGCGCGGGGCCCATACATTCAAGTTGGTTGACCCCGAGGTCACTTGATCGAAACAAGTTGCTGCTAGATGCATATTTCCTCAACCGGGCGACGGGTGTCCTAGGCCGGTTTATGTCTATACTGAGTGAGTAGTTTGGCGCGTGTTGCAGTTTGTGGCGATGATTGACCAATTTAGTGCTTAATCGGGTTGTGAAAATGTTCACGGGCTGTATGGGGCCCGCTTCAACTGGACGCAATCGGTCTATGGCGCTGGAAAACGCAGCCGTCCTTATTCTGTCGTCTGTTTTGCGACTCCGAACGTTTATCTAAGAGCCATTGAAAGACTCTGGAGTGACAAACTGGTGCTCATGCATCATGGTTACTAGTGCCGAGATTTTCTCACAAATTAAGTGGGAAGTGGAGAGAGAAACTTTTTCTTGTAAGTATGATCATCTGGCCTTCTATAGTTTCAAATTGACTCCCGCTTGAATCTCCAATTAGACTACGATTCTGCTCGACGCGAATGTGGTCTTTCTTTCAATACCAAGTCTCAGCTCGCCAAATGCGGAGGGTGTGGTCTCATCTCGGTCCGTTGCAAAAATACTCTGCTATCTATCGATCATTGCCAGTTTCGCCTGCATGGTTATTTCAATGATCCTGATTCAACAACCCAAAGGGCAATTGTAGCTCTCAGAGTTTGAGAGATCGGTCAAAAAATCCCTTCACGAGATGCTAAGCATTTCACCAGCATAATATCGAATGAAACGTGAGAATTGTGTACGTGGTTTCGAGCATCTCGCTGTTATATTTAGCCTCCCATCCGCATTGCTCTCGTGGGGGTAAGAAACAATACTTCTTCGCCTTGATGTTATCGTCAGATCCTGATTGATTTGCAATTGATTCTATAGTCTGTTCTTATTCTTAATGGCCTCATACTGATGTGCTTCGGAGCATCAGCCGAGATATCAAGGTCGACTTTGGCAGTTTTGATCGGACTAGCGCTGGTGCTGCTGTGTTTATTGCTTGGGTGGTGTATATCTATGGGATGGGAGGAGTCAGAGACGTCGGTTCGGAACACACATACCGCTTGCCTTTCGACTTGTCTGGCAAATCCGCCCAAAATCCGCCATGTAAATGATAAATATCAGTACTCGATGTCCCAGAAATTTTACCAATCGGTCTTATAAATAATCGTGCCAAATGTTGACAAGTCTATGTCACAAGTTTCTCAACAACCAACTTGAAGTACAGTTTAGCATGTCTCCGCAAGTCCCGATGGTCCAGCCGTAGCCCGTACAGCCCTGCAGGAGAGGGGTAGTCGCATACCAACCATGATACAGCACAATTATTACACTTCCTCATCGCGATTTTTCAAGTATGCACGAGGAGACCATGACGATTCAATGACAAGGCGTGAGAAGTAAGCATGCCCTAGAGGTTCACATTGATCATCGCACTTGGCGACCTGGATTTAGTTCCAGCCATAATCAAGACACATCCAGTTTTTCACACCTACAACGCTCAACAAAGTATGCACGCTTAGTGCGGTTGAAATTGTCATATTTCTTATGCCTTGCTTGGCCATGCCTCGCCCGGAGCGACCTCGGACAGAGTGGGTCCATTGCTCTTCACTTGCTATGCATATCGTTTGATTTACGTATGAGCTCGTGGCCGAAGATGAAGGGTAGACAAAATAATAACCACCAACCCGAACCACCCCCATTACCACCGTTTCCACCATTCCCACCGTTACCAGTAGGCCGAATCCACCACCATCCGGAGCAAATTCTGTTAGAACCCTATTGATATCACGTAAGTATATCCCTCAGTGCGTGATAACGAACTGCATTGAATACCTATTGATATCACGTAAGTATATCCTAGGTACTCGTATTTAGTAATTGTTTGTAAGTATAGTAATGAATATAGACGTACCCTCAGTGCGTGATAACGAACTGAGGGTACCGTAGGACGTCTGCGCATATATATGCATGTAGGTAGAACAAAGCAGTCCGTGGCCAGTGGCCCTGTCCATTGTGTTGTGTCGCGATACCTTTTTCCGTGTCACACTATCACAATGTGATTAGTTGACGCTCCAACACTCCTCCTTATCGCGGACACGACACTGATACTCCTCCTCGCGTATGGAGTCAAGACATTCCCAACATTTGGCGGAGTCGTACGAAGAGTGGCTTGGGCAGAGCTTTCGTGAATATGTCGGCGACGTTATCTCTGGTGTTGACGTATTTTATCGTGATTTCTCCTGATTGAGCGCGTTCACGAATGAAATGATACTTTATGTCGAAGTGTTTAACTCGGGCATGTGCTGTCGCGTCTTCGGAAAGTGTGATCGCTGCCTTGTTGTCGCAGAATAAGGTCGTCGGCTTTCTAGTGAAGTCCCAGCCTATCGCCTTCATCAACATCCGCAGCCAGATGCATTCCTGCGTCGACTCGTATGCTGCCATGTACTCTGCTTCGCACGAAGATGTCGCCACGGTTTTCTGTTTTCTGACTGACCATGATATTGCTCCAGTTCCTAGCGACCACGCGTAGCCGCTGGTACTCCTCCTGGTATCCAGACAGCTCGCCCAATCGGCGTCAGTAAATCCCCGGAGTGTGATAGATGAGCCGCCGAGGTGGAGTTCTAGGTCTTTGGAGCCTTTGAGATAGCGGAGAAGTCGGATACCTGCGTTCCAGTGGGATGAGTCGTAGTTGTCGAGGAATTGTGATAATTGCTGAACTGCGAAGGCGATATCCGGCCGGGTTGCTATTGCTATGTACAGTAGGCATCCTACCAGTGATCTATACGGTAACTTCGCGATCTTGGTTTTCTCCTCCTGAGTCTGAGACTCAGGGTTGGCGCGCCTGAGTTTCAGGCCTGGTTCCATGGGAAGTGACAATGGGTGCGCGTCTTTCTGGCCAAACTGCTGGATTACTCGCTCAATGAAGGCTGTCTGGGATAGTGAAACTGTATGTTTACTGTCGTTCCATTTTACTGAGACGCCTACGATGTGTTTTGGCCGGCCTAGATCAGTGATCGACCAGGATTCTTGCATCTGCGCCTTGAAACGCTCATTCTCTCCCTTGGAGTCGGCTATGGATAAGAAATCGTCGACATGGACCGCAGCAATGACTGTGCCTGTGTCTGACTTCCGATGGTATATGCAAGACTCGCAAGATAGGCACGTGAATCCCCAAGCGACCATTCGTTCGTTCAATGTTTGATTCCAGATCCGGCCAGCTTGCTTCATACCGTAGAGTCCTCTCACAAGTTCGCACACGTAGTCCTCCTTCCCGGGTTCCTCGAAGCCCTCCGGTTGTTCCATGTACTGAATCTCGTCATCTGGAAGTATACCATAGAGGAATGCCGTTTTCACGTCGATCTGAGTCGCATCCCAACCCTGTGATGCCGCAATGTGCAGTAGAATTCTCCATGACTCCATACGCGCTGTCGGGGAAGTGGTCTTACTGTAGTCGCGCCCATATATTTGTTTGTAGCCCTTGAATACAAGGCGCACCTTATACCTGACCGCCTTCCCATGCTCATCCCTTTTGATTTTGAAGATGGGTCGTCCTTTTCATACCTTATGCCCGTGGGGACATCGGATCTTGGAATAAGTCGGTACACGCCCATGTCTTTTAGTGATTTTAGCTCCTCCTTGTACGCGTCTTCCCATTTCGCCGCGTCTGGTCCCTGTTGTGCTTCTTTCCACGTGCCTGGCTCCTCCTCAACGTCAATTTGAAGGGGCTCTACGTCACCGGACAGGGAGATCGCTGCTAGTATACGATCGAGATCGGGCTGTGGGTCATTTTCTGTGGGTTCGGGCGCCTGTTCGTCTGTGGGCGCTCCTGACATAGTGTTTGGTTGCGGCTGTGTAGCACTGTCATCTGTGTTTCAAACTCGCCTTGCCTCCTTTGCCTCCTTTGTTCTTGCAGCGCTCTCCCTCACCTCCTCCAGTGCTCTTTCAGTCCTAGTGGGGGCTCGATCTTCGTTGTTTGCGGCCTTCTCTGTAGGCCTGCGTATGCGATTGGATCTTCGTGGGATTGTAGTGTCGTCCTGGTGAGGCTGTATGTCTGAGTTTGGCGCGTTGATCTCAACGTCGAGAGTACCTGGGTCATCATCGTTGTCTCGTGGAATGGTTGGCGAGGACTCATCGAGTTGTTGAAGAGATGGGATAGGGGGTGAAGTGTCTGTGAGTGAAGTTTCATGTCGTTCGACGAATTTAACGTGATGCGATTGATACACCTTGTGATTTTTCTTGTCCCAGCATCTGTATGTCTTGGAGTTCTGGCCGTACCCAATTAGGATTGACTCAATCGATCGTGGCTGTATCTTGGGGTTATGCGTTGGTATGAACACAAATGCTCGACATCCGATTTCTCTCATGTATGAGTAATCAGGTTCACGTCCAAACCACAGTTCGTATGGAGTCTTGCCATTGAGAGCTTTTGTAGGAGTTCTGGCATGGAGGTGAGCCGCTGTTAGGTAGAGCTCGTCCCAGAGGAAGTCTGGGCACCCTGCATCAATTTTCATGGTTCTGGCCTTCCCCATTAGTGTCCTGTGCATCCGCTCCACCTTTCCAATCTGTGCCGATGTATGCGGAGCACTGTGTTCTATAGTGACGCCCCTTGAGTTAAGCCAGGATTCCATCTCCGTGCTGTTTAGTTCCCCATCAAACCCAGTGCGGTACTTGCCAATTTTCAAACCAGTCTCGTTCTCGTGGGCTTTCTCCCATGTCTGTAGTGCAGCAAAAGCGTCTCCCTTTGATTTCAACGGAACAGACCATGGCATATTGGTACAATCGTCCACTATGTCTAGTATGTAGTGGTTTCCTGACTTCGATCGAACATTTACTGGCCCAAACAGGTCAACCCACATGACTCTCAGCCTTTCCGTTGCCCTATGCCCTTCCAACCGCATCTTCGGAACAGGGGTACGTGTCTGTTTTCCCAAGATACAGCTGGCGCATTTTGACGGAAGGGTAGAGAGCGTACCTTTGATCCTTCGATCGCGGGCTAATTGTTGTATGGCTCGGTAATTGGCGTGACCTAGGCGACGATGCCAGGTTTCCATGTTGGCAACGGTG